GGGTGGGGGAGTGGGGCTGGGGCAGAGACAGGCGATGCCCAGCCAGGGCAGGGCATAGGATGAAGCACCTCTATGATATAGAGTTTATAACTTCTAATTATATACTATTTGAGAGAATATATTTATGTAACCTTTTTAGAAGTTTTATAAATAGGTCAAAACATGCCATGGACAATATTGGGGACCCAATCTTATGGAATTCCCAGAGGCTCCTCTATAGATTAGTAAAGATTAAGAAAATGACTGTACCCAGTGGGACTCAGTGCTCAGTCTATAAGATCCAATTAAACATCTCTGTGATGCTGAGTTTCAGTTTTCAAACTGGATTTGTCTCTCTAGAGATCATAGGCAGACAAGGTTCTTGGGTAGATGTGATATCTTTTAATAGACCAACTTTAAACTTGGAAAAATTGTTCTTTGCAAGCTTTCAGGCACAAACACCCTTCTTCAGGCATAGGGAGAATCTGTCATCTCCAGACGTAACATCTTTGTTAAGAGCAAGCAGTACACTGAGAGGAGAGAACAGACTTGACTACCCACCTGTCAGCCCTATTGTCTCTCTGCAAGTTTATGTACACACAGTCAAGCCCTTACACCTTTCACTAAAAGTGCAAAGTTCCAAGAAGTTAAATAGAGGTTATCAAAAAACAAGAATGCACTTTTTGTTGAAAACAATGATTAAATCGAGGCTTCCTGACCAATTTAATTTAAATCAAATCCGCCTTGTTTAAATTAGAAACTGGCTGTGTCCAGGGCCTGGCAAAAGGGTTACATATTTATATTATGTAGAACAGGACAGTAAAAATGTGTGCCAGTAAAAAAAAAGTTTGGTCAGCTGGAGAGGGTGGAGGCAGTTAAGGCAAAACCTTAACTATTAACTGTAGCTCCAAATGGATCACAGTCATAGTCAGAGGCAAACCAACCTGGGGAGCTCCCTCCTAGCCAAGTCACTTGGGAAGGGAGTCTCACCCACAGCTGCCATCCAGGGACTCCACCACTTGTGGTCCAAAAGAAATTCCTTATTCAAGCCAGTATACTTAGTGCAGTGGGCATGGCATGAAACTGCACTCTGGCTTAGGCAAGACTCTGGTCAGGAGTGTCCAGGAGAGTTACCTAGTGCCACAGAGGCATGGTGTGGGGTGGCCCAAAAAGGATTTGCAATGATAATCTCAGGCCAAAACCCAAGAGGAGGGTGCTGTGAGTTGACAGCATGACAGAGCCAAACCATGCTTTGGGTTAGACAATACTCTGGTCAGGGATGCCTGAAAGAATTGCCCAGTGCCACAGTCATAGAGTGCACTGGCCCAACAAGGACTTCCATCTCTACTCCCAGCCCAAAAAAGAGTTCCTTATTTGAGCCATTATACTTAGAATAGTGGCTGGGGTGCTGTCAGATAGCAGCCAGGCACGGCCAAACCGCATTTTGGGATGGGCAAGTCTCTGGTCAAAGATGTCCATGAGAGTCCTCCAGGCACACAGAGATATGCCATGCGGTGGCCCAAGGAAGATTTCTAGCTGTAATCCTAGCTCAAAAGCCTGTTCCTTATTGGGTCCATACATCTAGCACAGTGGCTGGGGTGCTGTCAGTTAGCACCCTGGCACGGCCAAACCGCCTTTTGGGCCAGGCAAATCTCTATTCAGAGATGTCCAGAAGCATCCCCCACATGGCACAGAGGTGTGGGCTGGGCTGGCCCAAGAAGGATTTCTGGGAACAATCGCAGCCCAAAATCCAGTTCCTTATTCAGATCCAAGTACTTTGCACTGTGGCTGGGGGGCTGTCAGTTGGCAGCCTGGCATGTCTAAGCCATGCTTTGGGCTGGGCAAGTCTGTCCTCAGCAATGTGCAGGAAAGTCCCCAAGTGCCACAGAGGCATAGCATGGGGTGGTCCAAAAAGGATTTCTAGCTATAATCCCAGTCCAAAATCCAGTTCCTTCTTCAGGTTCATATACTTCACACTGTCACTGGGGGGTGGTGTCAGCTGGCCGCCTGACATGCCCAAACCATGCTTTAGCCCGGGCAAGTCTCTCATCAGAGATGTCCAGTAGCGTCCCCCAGTGGCACAGAGACATGGTCTGGGGTGGCCCAAGAAGGATTTCTAGGTATAATCCCATCGCAAATTCCAGTTCCTTATTCAGATCCAGATAATTTGCACTGTGCTGGGCTGCTTTTAGTAGGCAGGCTAGCACAGCCAAACCGCGCTTTGGGCCAGGCAAGTCTGTGGTCAGAGATGTCCAGGAGAGTCCCCCAGTGCCACAAAGGCACAGTGTGGGGTGACCCAAGAAGTATTTCTGGGTATAATCCGAGCCCAAAATCCAGTTCCTTACTCGGGTCCAGATACTTAGCAGAGTGGCTGGGGTGGTGTCTGTTGGCAGCCTGGCACGGCCCAACTGTGCTTTGGACCGGGCAAATTTCTGCTCAGAGATGTCCAGGACAGTCCCCCGGTGGCACAGAGACACGTTCTGGGATGGCCCAAGAAGGATTTCTAGCTATAATCCCAGCCCAAAATCCAATTCCTTATTCACGTCCATTCATTTAGCACTGTAGCTTGGGTGCTGTTAGTTGGCACCCTGGCACGGCCAAACTACGTCTTGGGCTGGGCAAGTCTCTAGTCAGAGATGTCCAGAAGTGTCCGCCAGTGGCACAGAGACGTGTTCCAGGATGGCCCAAGAAGGATTATATAATCCCAGCCCAAATTCCAGTTCCTTATTTGGGTCCAGATATTTAGCACAGTGTCTGGGGGTAGTGTCAGTTGGCAGCCTGGCATGGTCAAACCGTGCTTTGGGCTTGGCAAATCTCTGGTTGGAGATGTCCAGGAGAGACCCCCAGTGCCACAGAGGCGCTGTCTGGGGAGGCCCAAAAAGAATTTCTGTGTATAATCCGAGTCCAAAATCCAGTTCCTTATTCAATTCCATATACTTAGCACAGTGTCTGGGGGGTGGTAACAGTTGGCAACCTGGCGCAGCTAAACCGCGTTTTGGGCTGGGCAAGTCTCTGGTCAGAAATGTCCAGGAGAGTCCCCTAGTGGCACAGGGAGATGGTCTGGGGTGGCCCAAGAAGGATTTCTGGGTATAATCCCAGCCCAAATTCCAGTTCCTTATTCGGGTCCAGATACTTAACAGTGTCTGGGGGGTGGTGTCAACTGGCAACCTGGTGCGGCTAAACTGCATTTTGGGCTAGGCAGGTCTCTGGTCAGAGATGTCCAGGACCGTCCCCCGGTGCCACAGAGGTGTGGTCTTGGGTATAATCCCAGCCCAAAATCCAGTTCCTTATTTGGGTGCATAGTCAGCACAGTGGCTGGGGTGCTGTCTATTGCCAGCCTGGCACAGCCAAACCGCACTTTGGGCCGGGCAAGTCTCTGGTCACAGATGTCCAGGAGAGTCCCCCAGTCGTGCAGAGGTATTCTGATGGGTGGCCCAAGCAGAATTTCTAGCCATAATCCCAGCCCAAAATCCAGTTCCTTCTTCAAACCATTATACTTAGTATAGTGGGCATGGGGGCTATTAGTTGGCAGCCTGGCACGCCCAAACTGTGCTTTGGGCCAGGCAGGACTGTGGTCAGAGTTCTTTGGGACAGGCCCCCAGTGGCATCACCATGAAATATGGGGTGGACCAAGAAGTATTTGGCCCCATAATCCCATCCTAATCTGACCTTTGTTTAGGGCTCTATACTTGATGTGAGATATTACTTGACATATTAATAAGTACATATGTGTAGCTAATGAAATTCTGTCTCTTTAGGATGTATAATTCAATAATAACAAGATTTTATTGGGTCTAGATTATCTTTGAAAAAGGAACAGGGAATAAGGAACTGGGAGTAAGGAACCAACTTCAGCCTCATCTACACGTTTTATTCATTGACTGCTGGAAGGGACCTCGGAAGATCATCGGGTCCAGGCCTCTGCACCAAGCAGGAAAGACAACTGGGATCAGGATGCAATTCTCTAGTGTGAGAGCTGCCTTGCTCGTTCCACGGGTCTTGCCTCGCCCATGTGGCCGCTCTACGTTTATTGCGCAATTCACCAGTGAGCTGCGCAATACGTGTAACGTGTGCAGGGCCCGGGCTCCTTCCCGCCTAGAGGAATGAGGCGCCCCACCCGCCCCACTCACGGGCCCCGCGAGGGGCACCCAGGCTCTCCGGCCGCCGGGTAGGCCTGCAGGGCACTGCCGGGTTACCTGACTCCCCGGGGCCGAAAAGTCGACGACGCCCCGCAAGTCGAGCCCGTCGCGCCGCCGGTAGAAGCGGAAGAAACGGCGGAAAGTATCCTCCCCGCCCTCGCGCGCCAGCGCAGCCGCCATCTTGTCCCCCGATCGCGCCGATTGGCGGAGCGGGGTGGGGAAAGGTCAGAGGGGAAAGGTTGTAGCTCCCGCTTCCAAGATGGCGGCTAGGGAATTGTACCGTAAGATCCTAGTGAGGAGGCTGCCCTGGACTGTGGGGAGATGTAAGGTCGGGGCTTTCCGCGTCTCTGCGCGGCCTTAGGGCGAGGTCTGAGGGGCTGTTCGGGAGGCAGGATGTGGGTGGGGAGAGACTTCCCCCGAGCTCTTGGTGGGGAGCGGAGCCCGCCCGGGGAGACCTCCTCTGGCCCTGCCCCGGGCGCGGGGGGACGCGGCTCCTGTTCGGTTCTTCACGAACCGGTTTCCGTGGGCCCCGCGAATGAGGCTTGTCCCTGCGGAGAGCGCGGGCGGGACCGGGGCGGCTTCCTGGCCCTGAGTTTGCTGTGACCGTGTGTCTTTCTTCCGCAGTTGAAGTCTCCGAATATTTTAAGCAGTTTGGGTCCATCAAGAGATGCAACGTGCCGTTCGTGAGTATGAGCCTCCTCCCCTGCAGCACAAACGGATTTACTGGTGTTTGCCAGCAGGAACTTTCCCTGCTGAGGCAAGAGTGGGGTGAACAGAGGCAAAGGCTAGTTGTGGTATTTACAGACCTCAGTGGAAGAGTGCACTCATCAGACGTTTCTCAGAGCTCAGTCAGTCTAGTTGTCAAGAAGTCTTGGGTTTGGATAATGCTTTTTTCCCCCAAATGTTTGTCTCTGCATCTTTAGATTGCTTAAACTTGTAACTCTTGGCAGGTACTTCCTACTCTTGGATACATTTAGATGTTTATGATAACTGATATTTGGATAATGCTTGAAAATGGTAAAAACAAAAGCTGGGAGTCTGGATTCTTGGCTTGTGTTACTGTTGCTGCTACTCAGGCCTGGTCACTTGAGGCCATAATTTGCCTATCTGCACGATACTCAAAATAACATGAAGTCAAGGCTCTTCTCTGCTCCAAACATTATGAAGGTACAGAGCTAACAAATAAGTAGCCTTTTGCTTGATTGAGGAGGTTTTTGGGTCTTAGCTGTCAAGTAAGATGAACAGTGTGTCTGTTTAAGGATAGACATATAGACAGCAATGGAGCTAAATGGGATGGTCCTTAAAATTATTTTCATTCTTCTGTAATTCAGAAGGTAATTGCGGGATCATCAGGCCATGGGGATCGTCAGAAGATGCCCATCTCTAGGAGAAGTAGCATGAATACATGTGAAGTATAGTGTTTCAGCTAAACAGTGTTGTAGCCCAAGTTCTTTCACATATCTTGTGCAAACGTTTAGGGATTTAATTCATGATTCTGAAATCTTCATCTCTCTTTCTCTAATTCTGTCTGATAGTTAAGCATTTCCTTAATGCTACCTTTAAGTTAGTAGATCACATTTCTTTCCACTTTCTGGACAAGTATTCATTTAAGAAACTTGAACAGTCACTTTCTTCCTTTTAACTTGCTTACCTTGGGATTACAGAAGAAAATGTATTGGAGTGAGCCCTCTGTTCTTCCTACGTTTTTCAGTGTAAACGATGGTAACATGATGGTCCAAGGATATGAGAGAAACAAGATTGGTAAGGTTATATATTATAGACTTAACTGGTGCTTTCTCAGACCTGACAAAAGGTGCCTGAAACCTTGGCTCTCACTTTATACAGGTTGGTCTAAGAAAAGCCATTACCTCACCTTCCAAATCCTGTTTCTTTCATGTAAACAGGTCATCTGTGTAAGATTAAACTTGGTATGAAAAGTAAATTAGTTGGGGGGCAGTAGAATGGTGTGTTCTTTAGGGGAGCATTTGCTTAAAACTAAAATATTGGGATGGTATTAGTACCTCTCTGGGTACTGAAACAGCACAATATAATAAGACAGATGGTATCTAGTCAGAAGATTCACTGTTAGTTGGAAGCGCTGTTAGCCATGAGTGAAATTGGCAGAACTATGTAGTAGTCTCAGGCCTAACTAGCTGTGGCTTAGGCATTTAGGTACTTTAGAACAGTGGTTCTCAACCTTTTTTGTATCAAGACCCATTTGTAAACATAGATGGCCAGTCCTAACCCAGTGCTCCTTACTCCTGGCCCACTGCCTGCAGGCCCCAGCCCCCCCAGTGTGTGGGATGGGGCTTGGGGGGCCCAAGCAGCCCCTTCCAGGCTGGAACTCCGTCAGCCTACTAGGGAAAAGCCATGGTTTCCCACACTCTTCTCCTTTAAAAGAGAATCCATTTTTAAAGCATTTCCATGATCCTTTCATGTATTCTTGAGACCTGTTTTTGGATCACGACCCATGTGTTGAGAAACACTGCTTTAGATGATCTAATGGTTTCACCTGGCTCTCCCTTTTGTGAATAATGACTCACTTTTAAACAGTTCTGTTATTTGAAAGGAATTTAGGAAGTTGTAGTTTTCTCTCTGCCTGTGTGGTTAAGGGCAGTTTGTTGCAATGTACTTTCATCACATCTTAAACGACCGTTTCCCTCACTTGTCAAATTCCTTTCCAGCACTGAAGCAGTCTCTTATTTTCAGATCAACCTTCCATTTAAGTGTCACTTATGCTATGGATTTCTGGGCGATGGGTTGTGACTGCAATTTGGAATAAACAACTCTGTCATGGTTTGGAAGTGAAGTTGAAAAGATTAATTCTTCCTGTATTTGATGCACTGAAGGAGAGGGGAACAAAGTAGCACTTGTGTAAATTCTGATACACAAATCTGCTTTGTGTAAGTGGTTTGAGGAGAATGGGGTGGGCTTCTGAAAGAAGCAGGCCTTTACTCTTCCAAATTCTATATCCCCTTAAAAAAAAAAAGCTGCAAAAAGGAAGTTAGAACAATATGCATGTAATGCTTTGTATCAGTCTCCTCAACTGGCTTTATTTTAAATTGGGTGTCTAGGATGAAACAGGATTTAACAAAGGCTATTCCTGGATTACATTCCACTCAGAAAGCAGCATCCACAAGGTGTTAAAGGAATCTCACACTTTAGAGGGAGCCCAGGTAACAACTTTGTTGAATCCTTAATCAAATGATTTATTCTGCTAGACTCTTCCTATGTTTACTTCATTCTGAGTAGGTTACTGGCAGTGAAGCAGTGTGGGGATCCCAGCTCAGAATATAGTAACTTGTTTATTGTAATTAAGTAGTCAACCATAAGATTCTAAATTGAAAACTTTTTCTAAAATCTTTCCTCCTTTACCCTCCATCTTAAGTAAGTGGTCTTGTAACGTGTTGTAAAGGTCAAACTCTGACTATTCTGGACAAAAACACTATCCTAAAATAGCCTTGAACCCAGTTTTCCCTGCACCCACGAGTGGAGAAACTCTTGCACGTGTTCTTAATGTATGCTCATGTAGACATTGTCTTGCATAGCTTCCTGTCTTGTCCCTAGCAATACACATTCAAACTTAAACACTTCAAATTGCACAGCAGCCCATAGCATGTCTACCCATTGACACAAGTGCAACTAAGAGTAGCTATTTGCTGTGCTCCTGAGAGTTTGAGTGGCATTATAACATGGCTTCAGGTAGAATAATGTAATTATTCTCTCTGGAGGACAAATGCTTGTGGCAGCATCTGCCTCTAAATGTATAGAAAGGGTAAGAAGGTGGTATTTGGTCACTTTATACTACCTGGAAATCTAGAGCAAGGTAAAGATCAAGCAGAAGCCTGAAATTTCTGTATTAAAGGGTATACTGATGCAGTAAATCTACCCTTTAATACAGAAATTTCAGGCTTCTGTTGGATCTTTATCTTGTAGATTAGTCTGGTGTGGTGAAAGGGGAGGCTTCTGCAGTGAAGAAAGCTGTGGGGCTGGGGTGGGGGAAGGGGCAGCATGGATTGTGGCGTATCAGGTGGGTAGGTGGCTCCTGCTGCTGTGTGCTGCTTGTCTGGGAGCTGCTGGTCCTGCGGTTCATCCAGCGCTTTGCACATTCAGTGGTTCCTAGTGCTCTTCTTGTTGCTTGTCCAGGGATGGGGTGCCCCCAGATCTGTAGGGCAGCAGGGTGGGGCTGCACCAAACTCTTCCCAACAGGGTGGAGCTGCACTGAGAAGAGAGATGGTGAATTTGCAGCTGCAGGCTGCCCCTATAGCCCCTTCCCAGTGCAGCCCCAGCCTGCCCTGGCCTGTGCAGATAAAGGGGTGGATACCCTCCCAGATGAGGGATAGGATCCACCAGACCAGCAGTAGAGGCTGCCCTCCTTCCCCCCATGACCAACCACAGCTCTGGGCCATGCCCATCCTGCTAGGGCAGCACTTGGCCCTGCCCCACCCCCTTCCTTGCCGTGAGAGGCCTTGATCTGCCTCCTCACACATGCCTTCCCTCCCCACTCCCCTTCCACCACACCCAACTTACCAGCTGGAGGCAGCTCTCAAAAGGTATGGGGCTGTAGTCCTTGCCTCCTGTGTTGCACTGTGCCTGTGCACAGGCCATTTATCAGTCAAATTATTGGCCTGATGTAGCAGATTTCCAATATAGTAAATTTTCTTTGTATCAGTGCCGATCTGATATCAGACTGATGTATCTGTGTACCTCTAATCTGTACATAGTAGAGGAACGTTTCACCCTGTGGTAAAGTAGCACTCTAGTTTTTGTACAGTGTTTAATTGATGAAGACTGAACAGCAGTCAGCTTTAAGTTTCAGTCACTCAGAAGTCCTCAGTGTAAGGCAATGAGTTTCTGCCTCACTGTAAAAAGGCTCACTGGCAATTTCTCCTAGTACATTCCAGGCAAGTGCCTCAGACAATTACTTTCTATTAGTTCTACATGAAATTCCCAGGAAGCTCTTAAAAGGTATTTTACTAGGCTAAATATGATTTGCAAGGCAACACAGCTGTCTTTAACCTTGTTGGGAACTTGGAATCTGTATTCATGGAGGATGAAACCACACTTTATTGTAAATGAGAATACCTTTAACAGCATGTCTTGCATGAAATTGGGGATAATTATAATGAAACATCAAGACAGTGATTTTAAACAGGTGACTTGATTTTTTTTCCAGCTCGACATCATGTCAGCACCTTTCCAGACCAGTATTAAACTAAAATCCATACTTAGTGAAACGGATTAACGCCGGAAGGAGGCTTTTTATTACAGTGGCATGTAATGCATTTAAAATAAAGGATTACTGACAAACTATGTATGAGTATTGGATTTGACAGAGTCTAGCTGGTTCCTCTTTCAGCACAAGCTATACAGCCACAGCAGGAGAACACCAAATCATAAGGTCCCCACCATATTTCCATTACAGCATAAGCAATGGCTAGCTATATACACCAGATGTACTTTCATCAGATGAAGTAAAAAGCTTTAGCTAACTAGACAGAACTAAGGCTCTAAACAGGAGTACCCTCTTAACCTGAAATGCTGAAAGAGTTCTCATGAGTATAAGCGCAGGCCAAAATTCTGTATACAAAAATAACACCCTTATTAATGGTTCAGAATGGTTTTCCCCTTCCCCTATTTCCCATCAATAGTTATCTCCAAAGAATCCATGTGCATAGCCTGTACATTGCTTTCTTACATGACCATCCCACTGTGCATCCCTGCTGATAGATTAAAAGTGCTATTAGCATGGAGTCCAGGGTTTCAGTCCATTCTTGCTGCTCAAAGAGGCCAGGCCATTCACTCCTTCCTCCTTTTCTTGCCCTCATGCTCATGTTCTTTAGGGCGGCTGCTATCAGATGGCCTCTTGGAACCTCCATGCTGTTTGGCTTCTTCTAAGAACTTATCCAGACCAAATGGATCTTCCTCAAATTGAACTGGTCCCTCTCTGCCCCTCTGTCTACGGTCAGAGCCAGAAAATTCCTTATCAGGAACAAACCTGCAGCAGGAGAGAGATTATATTCCATCCATTTGCTATTAAAAATGAAAAGCAAAGAAGACTGATATGCTCTCTCTCTTACCTGTTTGTCTTTATTCGAGCCTCTAGATCATCACCATACATGTCCTTATCCACATTTTTGTTTGGCCTGTAAATGTTTTGGGCCATGTCTTTACCACTTCTCCAGGGCTGGTCATAGACATTGTAAATTTCATCCTCTCCTCCAGCAAAGCCACTATCCATACCCTGGAAAAGGGGAGGATAGGTAAGAATAAAGGTAAAAACCAGAACAAGATGCTTGGAGTTTACAGAACTCAGCTGATTTAAGTAATAAGTGCTTAGTAACACCTGTTTCTAATTAAGTCTGTTAATTGCAACCATCTGTAAAACAAGCAGCAGAAGAGACTATGGATGACACTTTGGCCCTGTCCTGAAATGTAGTAGTTTAAATAACACAATTTTACCGAGTTTCAGCCTGGAAAAAAGATGAAGGCTGATTTTTGCAATAATAAAAGGAATAGTTAGTTTAGAACTTCAGTCAGCTGTCAGAAAGAGAATGTTTAAATTTTTGAGTCATAACACTGAAGAACTACAGTATGAACTTCTGCTTTTCCTTGTGGGGCTTTCACAGGAGGTGAAATCAAATAGGAAAAAACAGGAAAACTCAGGGAGGCTGAAGAAAACCTCATCCACAGTGATGATTTAAAAGTGCAGAAGGACCCCCTAAAACCTGTTACTGCTAGAAATTTAGATGTAAACAAGTCAGAATCAGCTAATTACAAGTTTAATGACTGTTTACTTTCAATCTTGGAACATCAACCTTTACCTTTATGTCTATGGTACATTTTCCCTATTGAAATACATTTGATGCACGAGGGGAATGGTGGTCTTCACTTTTATATGAAACTCCTCTAGTCCTCAAACATAAAAGAAACATTCTTGGCAGAGGCCATCATACATTTAAGCATTCAAAACATCCAATCACTATGGCATCACCACTAAATGAGCGCAAGACAGCTGAAGCAATTTCTACTCTGTCTGAGATGCACCAGTCTTCCTTCAGAACTCATTCATATATCTGACAAAACGGGGTCAACTCCAGTTCTCTACTCTGCACTTTCCCTCTGAAAGGATGGGTTGGGCCAGCATGTCCCTTTTAAAATCCCACACAATTGAGAAGCTCACATCCATTTACCTTGCTCTGGTTGAAAAGCCTCTGGTCATACTGGACTTCACTAGATGTTCGAGGGTTGGGAACACCTAGAGCAATAACTTCACTGATATCTCTGTTCTCATTTCTCTGCAGCTTTGACCTAAGTTAAAAATATAACCAAGTTTACACTGTCAGGCAAACTCAATCACATCAATTAAGAAACTGCTATCTAATGCTTCACTAGTAAGTTATTCTGAAGGATTCTGTGCCTTGTTCATGTTTGGTAAGTAAAGCTTAACGTGGTCTTTTGGCAAGGAAAACATTTTGAGAAAAAAAAAAAAGTCAAGTTGCTGCAGCATCCAAGTTAACCTCTCTACTGTTAGTACAATGTTGCATGCAGTCTGTCTAGAAACTGCAGTATTGTTTTCACTAAAAACCAATATCAAGGGCAATTTGATAGGGTTAGTGACCTGAGAGTTGTGAGCTGAGAATTTGAACGTCCTGTAGTGAACAAGTCCTATTAAGGCAACCTCATGGGTATAGGCTGATGTGTCTAAACTCAATTATGAGGGGAAAGGATCCAGGAACCAGATGGGTGAAATCCTGGTCTCACTAAATATCAATTGTAAAATTTATATCAACATCAACAGGGCCTGAATTTTGATCCAACTGTTTACACATTTCCTAGGTTCTAACAACTTAAGAGTCTATTCAATATTAACCTTCTCCATTGTCAACCAAATGGTGTCTGGCCTAGAAAAATCTGAAGTTTAGATAACTATCTTGACATCTTTGAGTCAAATAGCTTTGATCAAGAAAATTAGGTTCTGTAGGCTAGGCTGAACATAGCAAACTTGTCACAACAGAAGTTCTTGTAATTCTGTGACTTACACCTGCATTTTCTATAAGCTAGGGTTTGAAAAATGTTTTAAAAAGTGCATGCACCCTTATAAGTAAGGCTATGATTTTGGAAGGGTTTTTTTTGTTTTTGTTTTTTAGTAATTTTTGTATCAGAGGTGAAGAAAAAGCAGTAATATTCATGGAAAGAACAAAACAATGACCCTTGTAGTATAAATTCCATCTGTGAGCACAACCTTATAGGTAGAGCCTGTTTTAAATTGTGGGTCCAGCTCACAGCATGGCAGCTCCTTTAATCTTGGGAGTTCCCCCCACATGCCCCCCTGCCACTGATTGGCAGAAGGGCCTGTTGGCTCTGCCATCTGCTCCTGATGGCTGGGAGGCGAAAGCCAGTTTCAAATATGCTGCAGGTTTTGCCTCACACTGCTTACTGCTGACCAGACAGGAGACAAAACCACAGCACATTTAAAACTGTGGTTTTTACCTCCCAGCCATCAGGAGCAAGCCAAAGGGCTCCTCCACCAGATCAGCAGTGGAAGGGGGGAGGGGACAGAACATGGGTGGAAATCCTAGATTAAAGGAGCTGCCATGCTGCAAGATGGGCCCAAGATTTAACCCAGGCCCTACTTATAGGAGCTCCAGCATGGATGTCTAATGTCCCATTTTCCCCCTACTGGCCAATAATACCTGTTTTGTTTCATTATTTTTAAGCACAGCCTCATGGGAGCTCCCATTCTTTCCTAAAGGCAATATACCCCATGATCCTGTGGGTATCATCTTTTGACAAAGTAGCAAGGTACCTCATGAGAGCCAGTCTTCAAATTCAAAGGTTTCTACAATGCTGTGACAATATCATAGCCTTGCCTACCAGTCCTAAACTCAGAGTCAAA